CCGCATGGGGATGATCGCGAATTCTGTTACATTCATTACGCTTACACAGGCCTTAAAATTCAGCTATATTATTAATGTTGTTATTAGTCTGTAATACGTAGGATAGATGACGTCATTATATGTATTGATAGTAATGGCGTATTATGTACGTTTAGATGGCGAGCTCAATCATCGTACGTTGCATCCTAGTGGCGCTACTCTGTGTGAGTATAATAATCTATATTTATCTGCAATTCAAATAATTCTGTATTTTCTATTCTAATATTATGCTAAATGTTTGCGCGTTTGATATGATGCGACGCATCGGAAAGCACATAAATGCTACGTAAATATTCGCTCATCTCAGAAGTTTTGTGAAAGTTTGGCGGTTTACTCAAAACGTATAATGGCAATGCAATATTTTTTCCTCACACTAGTTATACATATGCCGAAGGAATATGACAAGTTCGTGCGGGGATTCATAGTACAGTAAACACGGTTATAGAGTTATGCGGTTTATTCGGATTAATAAGGGTGAGGGAGTAAAGTATTAACATTGTGCATTGACGTTAAGGATAAACTTTTGTGAGACTTTAACGAGAGCCGCCCCCATGCAGCTAGATTAACAATCCAAGTTTAACTGCGTGGGATACACTCGTCTATGCAGGTTGCATCGGCAGAGCTACACAGCAGTGACACCTACCGGCAGGCAATCTGTGAATTGTCTTCCGGCAACATTTGCTGCCCCGGCGACACCCGGATCCGAATTTCGTCCGCGGGGTACGGCCGGCAGCCGGGTTCGGCCGGTCTCTGTCCAACCAGCACAAATAGCTGCATTCGGTTCAACGAGGTCACCAATTACGTCGCCCACTGCAACGGCCAAGCCTGCTGCACGATCACTGCCACTAACGACCGCTTTGGCGGTGATCCCTGTTACGGCATTGGCAAGTACGCCGTCGTCACCTGGACCTGCAGTTAGAGAGGCACTACAGACTGGCTGTTTTCTTCTAAGGAAACTAGAGTGACTATCTCACTATATGCAGTGCTAATTTTCACACACAAAAACTGTGGCGATACAGCTGTATAGTTTTCTTTATATTACACAGTCGTTTATAGTTGAATTGTATCACTAACGCTACACTGTAAATCCAGGCGTTTAGATCGAAACGTTTCATATGTTTAGTTATATGTTTAGATGTTTAGTTTCTAAACACTCCGTATGCATATCCGTTTATACGCCCTAAACGTTATGTTTATAACATATTGGTGATGTGTTTACTATATAAACACACTGTTT